TGCCGATTCAGAATAAACTTGTTGATTAGCTCGCCTAGTAGTGACTGTAGCCAGTGTTGAGACTAACTTTTACCTGCTACTTGATTTTTATTTTTTGAGTTAATAAATTAACTTAATGAAAACTTCAACAACATTTGTATTAAACTCAATATATTAAAAAGAAGTTTGTAAATATTTGTCTAAAATTTTCTATAAAAAAATTTCGCGCCTTTTTTATTAGTTTTGGCGCCATTATTATTAAATACAAAATGTATGCCTTAAAGAAAAGAATAACAAAACAAAACTTAACTAAAATGTAGCTTCTCAAAACTCTATTCAGCTAATTTAAATATATATTACATGCACGTCACCCATATCAATGCATTGTGTTCACAAATACGCTGTTGGTCCGTTACAATAACTTCGTAGGCCATACAGTTTGCTAATCCCAGTTATGACGTCACATCCGGCTGTCAGCGCCACGAATGTCAAGTTCAAAGGATTTAGCCTGTACATTTGAATGTCTTGTATAATATTTAATATAACTAAAATAATTAAAAGGTTAATTATGATCTATATCTTAAGTGAATGCGTCCTTGATAATTGTAGTTAATTTTAATCTGTTTAATAATATAACTGGCTGTATGTATATTGTGTTTAGTTATATATTATCTGTGGTATGTATATGTTATCTGTGGTATGTATATATTATCTGTGGCATGTATATGTTATCTGTAGTTCTCGGTAGGTGGTAATTTTAGCAGAATCTGTGCTATCACGTTCACCTTCGGCGACGCTGAGTTGCAACACTTTATCTCGATTCGTCATAACTTGATACAGGCATAAGTCGTTGTGTTAAATAAAACTACAAATGAAAAATACTCACGTATTGATTGTATGTTATTAAATATTGTTGTATTGGAAATTGGTTTTGGAGAAAATTACGTTTCAGTACATTTAGTTAAATGAGAAGTATCCATATTTATCGGGGTTATATGTGTTCCAGAAAACCTTTTTAACAGTAAGTGCTACACTCTTTGGAGATAGTAGTACAATAATATATTAAAAATTTTGACAATTTTAATGAAGAAATTTTTGTAAACAATATTAAGTTAGTAAATATATGTGTATCATGCTGTATTTTGATTACTACCAATTAGTTTGAATCATTTTATTCGATTTTTTTTCTATTATTTATTTATATTTAATGTATATATTATATATTTCTCGTGTATGATTTTTCATCTATTATTTATAAGTAAATTTTATATGGCTTCAGTAGGCTTTCTAGCTCGATTACTTTCTCCGAACATCTTTATGGTATGACCAATACAAAAAATGAGGAAAGTTACAGTCTAGAAACTGGGTGATGTCTGGTTACATTAAACATTAATTATATGTCTATGTTCAAATAATAATGAACCAAACACTCCATTTATATATTCAAACATATAATACTAAAAATATAATGATAAGGAATATTTTTCGAGTACACATATAAATAAAACCACGGTTCTTGGATATATATTAACTTTGACCTGAAATTTAGGTCTTTACAAAAACAAACAACACGAAAATCTCAAGACGCTTGTTTGTAAACCATAGTTTTATTAAGATTCTAAAAATATATTTATAGCTCGCGTATAAAATAGCGGGAAACTATTACAATAGTGAGGTAATAGATTTATGAAGTTATTTTAAAGAACAAATATACAAAAATAGTTTTCAATTCCTCAGTATATTACTCACTAGCTTTCCGCCCTCAGCTTCACCCGCGTGGAGTTTCGTTATATCGCGTTTCCAAGAGAACCTTTCAAAAGTCTTGGATAAAAACTATCCTATGTTCTTTCTCAAGGTCAACTCTATGTCTGTACCAAATTTAGTTAAAATCAGTTCAGTGGTTTAAGCGTGAAAGCGTAACAGAAAAACAGACAGACAGAATTACTTTCGCATTTATAATATTAGTAGGGATATTCAAAGTTAATATAATAGATAAAACATTTATAACTAGGTACCCTTATAATATTGATAATTATTAAGATTTAAACATATATATAGAAGAAATAATATCAGAAAATAACTCTACATTGCCAGTAAACAATGAAATCTGTTTTACAATCACAATCCATATCAATCCAATACTTCGATAGTAGTACATCAGAAGTAATCTGGTAAACTTCCTGAGCGTTCTAACACCTATTACTATCAGTTCCTGGGAACTGTGATGTAAAAACATTCGCAATGCTTGCACAATACTCATGATGCCGTTATAATAGATGCCCACTGGCCTTAATTCCCAAAATGGAGTACCTACTGCAATTTGCGAGCACGCCATGCCTAATTTTGATGCATTTATTGCTTTTTTACAAACCCGCTATGGAAATGCTATTTGTTTTAAATACGTGATCTAGGTGAATAAAATAGAAATTTAATAAACTGTCATTAATATGTATTGTGCAGTAACGTTGAAGTATTTTAATTGAGATATTTATTGTTGTATTATAAGTATGAAACTGGGAAGTTTATTATAATTCCATTTAAGATAAGCTCAGCATTCCATTGAACAGGACCTGTGAATAAATTCATAGTGATCGTTTATATTGTAATTGGACTGTTCGCTCCTTATAAGAACTTATTCGACTATTGTGTATTAAATACACTATTATTAACCAGATATCAATAAATAAATCACTGTTTTATACCAAAAATATTGGATAATATTATATTCAATATGTTTTTACAAGAAGTAAAGTTTGTTTCACATTTAAATCTCATTTCTGCGAAGTAAATCAACAATAGTTACGTAACAAGAGTTAGACATAATGCGTCGTTCACAAAACGAGAGCCTTTTAACTTGATAAATGTACGCACGATGGAAAGTTACTTCTATTTACAATGGGATAGATTATATTTTTAATTGACACGATATATTTAAAGGATGCTGAGTGAAGTAAAGTAACCGATTATGGAAATGCGTCCTGAGAGCTGTTGGTAGGGACACTGAAATTATGTCCGCACTTAAATTATACGCCTTCCGGTTTAATGTTAATTCAATATGGACGCCGTATCAGAATATTGGAATATTGTTGTATTATTTCCTTATTCGCTGAATAATAATAATATTTGACTTGTACTCTTGTCTTACAAGGTATTATGAGAAATTTACATCTGAGGCCGTACGTAAGTAATATTATATTGGCATTTTCTGAAGTGTGAAATTAAATAATTTTATATATAAAAAAAGTCAGTCAGTGAGTGGTGGCCTAGTGGTTAAAGGGCCCGCCTCTCATGCACGAGGGCGCGGGTTCGATCCTGGCCCTGGCAAGTATCAATGTGATTTTTCCGAGTCATATGTATTTTCTAAGAGTATTTAGACATCACTGATTAATGCATTCCCAAAGAGGGTTGATATCAGGCAGGCGGCCGGTCGTAAAAACAATTAGCCAAAACTATTTACATATTCTGTGGAAGAGTTCTATTTACATTAAAGTGGGATCAGGGCAGGAAAACAAAAATTATTAAAAAAGTAATTGTCGTATATAATATTATGTAATATTTTATAACATACTTCAATATGTATCCTGTAGATGTTCGGTCGCGGAAATTATTAAACCAATTACGTCATATTACTTAACTGTTTTAATTGTCCGTCCGAGCACTATCACTGAGGAAATTTATGCAAACAAATGCGTGAAAGGAGGGAGATATCAACCACTAGATGGATTGCTCTCGTGTCAAGGGCTGACAGACACTACTGCTACTTTATTTATCCTGCTAATATAAATACTACGGTCAGTATGTATGGATGTTTGTTGCTCGTTAACGAAAAAAATTATTAATAGATTTTGATGGAAATTATCTGTAATGTAGCTTAGATATCAGAGAAGGATATCTGGTATAAATTATCCCGAAATTATAAGTATAATATATGACGTCACGTGACGTATTATTTTGACTCTGAGTCTAATTCAGAAGTCCTCACAGACGAAGTCAGTAGCAAAAACTAGTATAAAAAATAACGTTACGTTCAAAAATTGATAAATTATGCTATATTAATCCAAAAATATCAATACACCTTTAGACATTTCGTTGCGTCATTTACAGAGCATTGTAAACTAGCTGTCAACCTATTTAGAAATCCGTCTTGAGCTCCGATAGTAATAATACGAAATGCTTACAAAAATAAACACTCGCAAGGATAACAGTAAATTACATAATAGGCATAGAAAATAAATTGTATAGAACTATTGATTGAGGTGACAAATGAAATAATAACATAACTCATATGTCCGCCTACATACCTACTTAATATAATAAATGCGAAAGTAACTCTGTCTGTCTGTTGCGCTTTCACGCTTAAAACACTGAACTGATTTTAAAGAAATTTGGTATAAAGATAGAGTTGACCTTGAGAAAGAACATAGGATAGTTTTTATCCCAGACTTTTGAAAGGTTGTCTTGGCAACGCGATATAACCGAATTCCACGCGGGAAAAGCTGCGGGTGGAAAGCTAGTGTTTCTATAACAAGTGTTGTACGAGTATCGTATTTATAGTACATATTGATTTTCTTATAAACTTCTATATTTTATAATATGCTCTAAGCTACTTAGTTATCTGATTACGTATAACGGTATAGCACAATAAATTTGTGATCATAATTTGCATAATTAACATTAGCGGCACGTAAATAGCTATAACCTATTTAAAGTATTACATAAATATTTCGACATACGAAAAATATATTAAATGATAAACAAGAATGTATTTATACATTTGAGAATAAAAAAAACATATATACATATATATGTACTCGTATAAAAATAAAATAAAAAAAAATTCAAAAATAGAATCGACATTACTTTAATACGGTAGAAAAAATGCCATATACTTAATTGCAACCAACCACAATATCCTATAATGAAATGACACTTCTTCTGAATTCATAAAATAAACAATATTAGTACTTATGACTTATTAATAAGGTGTAAAATTTGCAGAGCATGCCGCCCCCCGCCTAGGCATGAGCGGCCGCGGAGCTGGGGGGCAGCGCTGCCAGCTGATACTGCAGCGCTGCCTCGCCATCCATCTCACCAAGCCTGGCAACGCGCCAGATGACTTCTGGATGTACGACTCCGGGTATCTGCTATTCCAGGTCAGTTTAAACTAACTTGAACCTTATTGTAACAAGTTATGGTAGTTTTCAGCTTGTATTGTTTCATGAGATGTTTTGTTATTCATGAATGAAATTCTTTTTTTAAAAATCGCTTTTACATAAAGAATTAAACTAACTTGAACCTTACTGTAACAACTTAGGGTAGTTTTCAGCTTGTAATATTTTATGATATAAGTATTCGGATCATGAATGAAATTCTTTTTTTAAAAATCGCTTTTACGTAAAGAAATTGATTTAATTGCTAGTAAATATTGTTCTTAAGAGTATAATATAAACAATTTTAACGCTATTATTTTCGTATGTTTTTTGAATGAAATTCAGATAGAAATAAATTAATTTGCATGATTAATAAATCTTTTCTGTCTTTATTAGTGTTGAGAATTCTTGTAATTTTTTTTTTTATCAGAAGCCATAGTTATCTATATGTCCTTATTTCACACATTAATTTGTTTAGGTATCAAAAGTTGTAATGACTGACATTTCCGAGAGGGTCTCTACTTAAGAGTATTTGATTTCAAGTATTATAAAAAGGTTATAATAATAAACCTCTTTCGAGTGTTTTGGCGCGGCGTAATAAAAATATATAAGATGCAAAATAAACTTCATTTGACGTTAAACGGGAACTCAGTCATTCGACCATCAGAGCTGTTAATAAGTAGTTGTTAAATTGCACTGCGATAAAATATTTACATCATGTTCCCTCACTTTCATTTCCCGCGAGACGACTCGGTAGTCAAATTTATATTTATCTATTTGATCTTTAAACTACGGAAATCTATGTAATGTTACAACTTGTTATTAATTTGTATTTACTTGTAATAATTGATTAAGAAAATTAATTTAAAAAAAGTAATGACGTATTGACATTATTTATTTTTTATATTAAATACATCAGACGAGGCAACGATCCAAACACATTCAGCCGTGAGTTAGGATGTTCTTCACGGGAGGTCTAATATGTTTACGTTGTCTGAATGTTCATCGGACACAGCTGTGCAACATTCATTGCTCGCAGCTGCGAAAATATCGTAATACGAATTAAAATTTTACGATTCGATTAAATTTTTATTTAAAAAAATATCACTATTTTAGTGGCTTACAATATTAATTTATTTTTAAATTACTATACTTTAAGCTTATTATTGTAAATATTATTTTTCGTATAATGTTTAATTTATCCAGAACTAATAAACAAGTCGCATTATCGTTGAACCAACTAATAGTTATCATTGTTCTAAATAGCTCAGATACCGAACACAATATATGTTTACAGATTATAATATTTATTGGCATTTCATTATGCGAGTTACTGCTTCGATAAAACTATACAAGTATGTTATATGATTGGAGAATTATCATTTTATTATTAAATTAATCATCTATATATATTTATTTATATTATTCTATATATAACTATAATATTTTCTTTAAGTACTAATGAATTAATTATTCGTCTAAATATGTTATATTTTATATGTGACAAGTCTTCCTTTGTAATTTGATAACGAATGATTAAGGTCGTTTAAAAAGCAACCTTATTTAATAGAGTTAAAGTTTATTTTGCCGTGTCAAGGCTTTCGAGGAAGCTGCGTGTCTGAATCAGTTTTTTTTTTTTTTTTGTTATCGCGGTGAAAGGTTTTATACCTACCCCTCCGTCTAGGGGAGACAGAGGCGGTTATGTGGGATTCACGGCCAGAAGGGCCCATGTTACCCACTAAAACACCAGCGGTCACTCTCCGTTGCCGCCAAGTGGATCGCCACGGGAAACGCCGAAGCATGCATCCGCGACGATCCAGCGGCGGGCCGCGAACGGCCACCTCCCCCCCCGAGGGCTCACTCCAAGTGACCAGGAGTGTCCCCCCGCCTGGCGGGCTTGCTTAATCGCGAGAGGGTTAACCCCTTACCCCTCCCACCCAAGCCCACGCGGCCAGTCTCCAACCACCCACCGACGAGCGCAAGCGCCCGACGGCAGACAGAGAGGAAACCGACCGACCACAAGCGAACTCAGGCCTCCGGAGAGACCCGAGTATCCCCTCCCCCCCAAGACAGCCACGGACGGCCTCCTGCCAGATCCGTGACCGTCTTACTCCCAGGGCTGTACCCCCAGCCCTCCCCCCCGTGACTGATTGCACCGGAATACACCAGTGGGCGATGGGGTCGTCACGTCCCGACGCCGGACTGCGCCGACAGTGGCCGAGGCCACCCGCCAACACGTAGGGCCGAACTTGGCAGCGGCGGTGTACACCGCCGAGCCTCGTCCTACCCACCTCCATGGGCTGCACCCCCAGCCCGGGCCAAGACCCCACGAGGAGGTCAAGGCCCTTCCCCCCCGTGACTAAGGCCTCGGCCTCGAATCTCGCGGGTAGCGGGGCGGCAGCGGCGGCGGCACGGAAACGCATACATTTCTCCGTGCCCGCTGCCCGCTAGTTTGGAGAATAGTATGCGTTTTCGTGCCGCCGCCGCTGCCGCCCCGCTACCCGCGAGATTCGAGGCCGAGGCCTTATTGCACCGGAATACACCGGTGGGCGATGGGGTCGTCACGTCCCGACGCCGGGGTGTCTGAATCAGTTCAGTTAGTATTAATGAATGAAATAATTACGAGTCTCTTCAGTATAATTAACTGTTGAAATCTTTAATACATTATATATAATAAATAATGATAATCATTATATCACAGCTCTTTATAACGATTACAGTCACTGGAGAATTATTATTGAGATATATTAAATACGTTAAGAAAAATTATCATTTAAACAAGACGAATACCACGGATTTGTCTGTATGAATAGTGTAATTGTTTTCTTATATGTAAAATTGCACAGTAGTTTATTATGACAGTCACTATATTAATTTTAGGAAGAGCATTTTGAGTAAGTTTTTGACAGTGGCTAAATATTCCACGATTCCAGTGCGAATGAAGCCATAAACAAAAAAAACCTAATTTGATACATGTTCCATGAATATTATAGAAGTAACTTGAATTTCTAATAAACATTGTTTTATTTTTATTAAAAAAAAACCATTTTAATATAATTCTATAATTGATTAAAATGTTATGGTAATTTGTTAACTGTACTCTAAATCTGACATTACAGGTATAGACAATTCTTTCAGATTATCGTGTCTATGATATTTAAATAATATACAACAATTTATAAATATAATTCATTACTATTATAACAAATCGTATAACTGTCTATTTATAAGATTATAATTAAAAAGCAGTAATGTGTAGAGCGTCGTATAAAAAGCAAATAAAGTGTGGAGTGGATCGTTTTCAATTCGCCTCAAACAATGTATTGGTTGGATGCTTTTGTTCAGAGATTTCATCTTAGACATTGGATTGTAATTTCCCGTTCAGACGTACACTTATGAACGAAAATACTATTAAAATACCATTGTTGCTATTGTATATACTTTACAGCACATCTTCGTTAGAACCTTTAATTTCTAACAATTTTCTATACTTTTTACTTATTTATTTACCATTAAATGCTTTTATAGTTTCTATTACGTAATTATGGTGAGTGGATTAAAGTCTTAATTACTTTTTATTATAAAAGCAAAGATTTCAGGGAAACAGCCGATGTCAGGAAAAAGGGCTTATATGTTTAATATCGTGATTAGATAATGTACAAAGTAAAGAATAGTACGTCTGTGTAAAATTATCTTAGTACTACACTACAATACAATGTTATTTGTACTTCTCACATCTCAGTAGTCACTATTTCGAGAAGCGTCTTCTGTCAAAATGGTATATCTCTATGGCGCGAAAAAAAAAACTGAACCAAATCAACGATTTCCGCTTTCATGTATATATGTGTTGTTAAGTGTTCTCAACACACACGTCACCTAGTTCGGAGGTTTATTTTGAAGACGTAAAGTAGTTTTCATTTGTGTTACCGAAATGTTTACGTTGCAATATCACGCTTTGTTCTCTAACCAACTGTGTCGTCAATGAAATGCGGATATAGAGCTTACAGAATGTGTTCAAATTGCTTAATATATCCTTATTATCTTCTATCTTCTATCTTCTATATATATAAAAATGGATTGCTGTTCCTTAGTCTCACTAAAACTCGAGAACAGCTGAACAGATTTATCTTATCTTAGTCTTGAAATGTTCGTGGAGGTTCAGGGAAGGTATAAAAGCTGAAAAAAAAAAAATATTTCTGGGAAAACCCTAAAAACAGCCCTTTTCTATTTCCCATACAAACGGGTTTTTTGACATTAGATTTGACAACTAACTAATATGTCAATCATTCTGTCGCACTTTAGAACACGGAGATTTATGGCTTAAAGGTAAACTCCAAAAAAATAATTAAGAAATAATTTATTTCTTGATTGAGGCAGTACGAAGTCTGCCGGGTCAGCTAGTTATAAATATATTCTTATTCTTTTCTTACAATATGGTTCTTAAATTCAATAAGCCACGCTTCTTCGTTATCGATAAGTCACGCTGAAACCAACCAACAGATTTGTATACAAAATATTATTAGTATTAGTTCATAATACTTTTTGTTTTAATATGTAAAAAGTCCATTATAAATTTCAAAGTTAAGGATAAAATGTTATAGTAGAGTATATATATCAGATATTTGATGTCCAATTCAGAAACAGTAAATAGAAACCTTTCCACCTGTCGCATTAATATATAAAACCTTAAAACTCCTTTCGTTTCTGTACGTATAAGTTTTTATACAATGAGCAGAGAGCCGATAAACCCTGATCGGAATCTAAACCCGATTCCGACTCATTGTTGGCTATAGTTTAATTTGTCATAGCCCAAAGTAAGTTATTTTATGTGGTATTGTGTGAAAGTAATTCTAGTTACGGTTTAATCTGTTAGTTTTTATCGCTTTCCATTTGACTGTAGTTTATAACGTGAGAAATACGGTGCGAAAAAGATTATGATCTCATGCTAAGCTGAGGTAATTATTTCCCTTACATTGAAGGTATGATTGTATTTTATTAAGTAC